GGAGAACATAACTTATGAATTAAGAACTGGTTTCCTGGTCTAAATCAAAGTGTTCTTAAATTATCAACTGTCATGGAAATCATCTCGCAGAATCCAAGGTATTAAATACAAAGAAACTGGGTTTTGGCAGAAGTTAAGGCCATGTTAATGCAAATGTCTGTGGCAGAAATTTGAAATGAAGGATATAACAGTTCTGAGAATCAAAACTCATATTCAGAGCATCTGTTTGCTTGGGCTCTCTTTGGCATTGTCTTTTCTTCTACTATTTCCAAGTTTCCTTCAAAAGGAAACTTCAAAAGGGGGAAAAGCTAACACAGTGGTGACTGCCATGTGCCTGGAGAGTTCTCAGGCTGGAGCTTGTACTTCTCAAGTGTGCAGAAACAAAGCTGGCCTCCCTTTGTGTCCAGCTGGCCTCCCTTTGTGTCCAGCTGGCCTCCCTTTGTGTCCAGCTCGCCTCAAGGGGATCTAGAACCATGAGCTGGAATCTCTAATGGAATGTGATGAATAATAAGAAATTAACCTGAAGTAGAAAACCTACTGCAGTTCTTGTTTTGAGAATTATCCCTAGCACAGAAAGTACTTGGACTGAATGCACCCAGAGGGTGTTGATCAGAGCAGAGGATCAGTGTGGAGCTCTGTGAAAGGCATGAGAAGGAGGTCTTGGCATCAGGACGTTTAAGAAATATTGGTCCATGAGTGAGAATTCCATGCCTAAGCCTTCAGCAAAAGGCAGCTGCTGCCTGATCCAAAGGTACCTTCCCTCTGCCCTTGAGTCTTTCTCTGAGGGGTGATGCTCTTTAATCCCCAGAGGAGGATCTCTGTGTAGGTGAGGCACCAGCTGGCTGTTCTTGAGAAGTGAAACACATACAAGTTTTGCAGTCAGGCTCTCCCTTTTCAGGCTTAAGTAAGAAAACCAGTTGTAGATGTTCTTCCAGTCATCCAGTGTCCTGGGGTAAGGGTTTGAAAACTGTACGGTTCCCAAAGATGCGTCCTGCCCTGAGCAAGCAGCAGCGTTTGATGAGGCCATCATTCGCTGCTATGGCTGTTGCATTGATAGTGGCAGCCCTGGGAAGTGAAGAAGATCTGAGGTCATCCCACAGCATCTTTCGAGACTGCCCTGTTGCAGGGCAGGGAAGCCCTCTGCTCCTCCGTTCTCAGCTCCCAGCACATGTGGCATGCTTCCCTGGGGGAATTCCGTAAAACCCACCATATGGTGGTGATTAGACGAGAGGTGTGTTTTGAAAGCACGCTGTCCTTGCACCAATAGCGCAGTCGGTACCATGTTCCCAGATGTAGGCTGATCACGGTGAAGTTCTATTTTTCCCGTTATCAGGCAGCTGTGGGCAAAGCCTCGACATCTCTGGGCCTCCTCAAGCTGCCTCTGCCGGGCGGAGGAAAAAAAATGCTTGCTAAGAGAACAGGCTTTCAGCATTAGCAGTTTATTGTTGCAGAAGTGTTGTGATAAATAAAGGTGAGAAAGCTGCAAGCAAACTGCTGGTCCCTACCCAGCCAGCGCGGGTGCAGCCCCCTGCTCACCAGCTGTGCTGGGTGCAGTGAGGAGGTGAGGTTTCACCTCCTGCCTTGGGGAGGCAGTTGCTACAGGGGAGGATGGTCTGAGAGACAGGTTTCCATCATCAGACCATCTGTGCCCCCTGTGCCACACACCAGCTGTGTGGTGACTCTTGCACTCACTGCGGGCCTAAGAGCAGGGTAGCTTGGCCCAGCAGCCAGGAGCAGGAGACATTGCAGCCATGGCTGCCCATATCCAAGGGTGAACATGCCTTTCCTCTCCTGGGCCAGACCCTCCTGCCTTTTTCCCCCAGATCAATAATTCCTGATGTGGTCTGTGCTTCTGATACCTCAGAAACTCTTGCTTAAAAGTAGCCTTATTCTTGGCAAAAATAGACCAGCTACCCAGGGAAGAGAAATGTACTAAACCTTGTAATTTAGTTACCTTGGTAACATCTGTAAGGAACTACTAGCGCTAAACCACTATTTTTTTTTCCTGATGTCTTTTATGGCAATACATGTTTATATTTACTTGGCAAAAGTGTGAATTATAGCCATTGTAGCTGTTTTCCTGAACATTATCCTGACAGACGATAGTTCCCATTTCTAACAAGCAAGGTTAAATGGCTGTAAAAGCAAGTATTTGTCATCAAGTAGCTAAGCTTTTGCTAAGTAAAGCCAAAATCATGTAAATACTGTATTATTATTTCAAAGTGTTGCAACGTTTGATGACATTTACTCAGCATAGGAATTTTTTCAAGGGTTATATTTTAGAACAAATATTAAAAATGTGTTTTGTTTCGTTTTGTTATTTTCTTTTGCATTGTAACATTCTCACGTGTTTTAGCTGTCAACCAGTCATCATATGGAGGGGTGGGAGAGGGAGTGGGAAGAAGCATTATTGCTTATGATTACAAATCAAAACTAACAGCCTTGCTTTGGACTTGGTTGTTCCTAGATCTGGCCCCAGGCACAGGTCTCCTCCCACTCCATCATTCCCATTAAGCCATCTACATCCTGGTAGCAGCTCCTCATTGCTGCACAACGCAGGACACTCGGGTGCTAGCACACGGAAGCTCCCTGGGGATCAGACTTGTGTGCTGCAGAGCAAGCAATGCCCCCAGATTTTAGGTGGCTCTATGCATCCTCTGGTTATTCACTTATTTCTGTCTTTGCTCCCAGCAGCAGGGAATTTTCTGAGCCCTTCAAAGGGAGGGGCATCCCTCACTCTGTGACCCATTCAGTAACTGATTTAATTAAATTGAAACTAACTGTCACTTGTTAAACTGCTAATCAAGAAGCCAATTACCTGTTAACAGTTCTAAATACAAATCAGCAGTAGCCGAAACATTTTTCTCTTAACTAAAGAATTCTGGATTTCTTTCTGGTATCTCAGAGCTTTTAAAATGAGTTGTAAATATGGCTATTTTCTTTTTTTGTTCTTTTTTTCTTTTTTTTTTTTTTTTTAAAAAGGGTGCTGTCTCTGAATGCCATTTTCTAGTTCAGAATAATAAAACTGCATATTTATTTCTAAAACTGCTTTTAGAATGTTACCCTTTTTAATGTGTTAAACTTGTAAAACATGTTTTGGGTCATGATAGAATGTTTATTAAGGGTAAATTCTGCTCACCTTATTCATTTACATAGCTGAAATTCTCAAGCAGCCCCAGGTTTTTAAATCAGAACATTTCCTTTGCTCTATTGCAAGTTGTGTTGGTGTACACATTTGAAAGTCTTATTCTAGGAATGTTATGTCATTTATTGTATATCAACTTACATTTGTAAGAGGTAATGTAAAAGTGGCACATACCAAAATATAGCTTTATTTTTTATTGCAGCAAATAATTATAATGCATTTTATAAAACAACAACAACAACAAAAATTTCCTTAAATAAAAGCATTTAAATTATGATTTTTATTATGTATTTTCGTGAAACTAGGTTGGGTTTTTTTTTACAGGTTTACAAAACAAAGCAATAATTAAAAAAAAATGTTCATTATGTGTGCCCAGTCCTGTATATTTTATGACATAAAAGTTTTGGATGAGTGCAGCAAGCAAGCCACTGATGTGTGATGGCTTGTCTATGGCTCTTTAAGTACTTAATTGAATTAGATCATTACCCATTTCTACAATATATTCTTCACTTTTAAAATTCTGATCTGAGGGTGGTGAATAGTTGGTTTTTACTGTATTAATGATGGAGAGTCAACAATTTGATTAATCATGTAGTTTCGCATTATGAGTATTTCTGAGCACATACTTTAAAGAGTGTGTCCTGATGTTTTTTTAAATTCCAAGTGTGCATAAATGTGTTTGTTTCTTTTCCAAGGAAATTGTTTAGAAGGGCCCAAAAGCAGATGGTACATTAAAGTGCTAATTATTAGGGTCCATCTCATCCCATATCTTCAGTTTTAATCTGTACACATTCCTGGCTGCTAACCCCCCAGTTTTATTTCCAGCTTCACTGTCTGTGACAAGCATAGGCTTGTAGAGCCATGGGCAGGTGTTTGCACCATTAGCAAACCCATGTAGGTTGCCAAAAAAGAGGTCCTATAGAGAACAAGAAGTAGGTAATAAATTGATGGCCAAGTTCTGCTGCCATCTAATCCATTGAAGGATGAATTGTTTTACTACATAGTCTGCTGGCCAAAAGATTGTTCAGAAGTAAAGAAGGGCAGAGTAGTAGCACAAGTGGCAAATTCCAGTGCTGACAAACAGGATCCACAAACCCATAAGCATGTGAAGACACATATTAATCCCACATTTCAGCTGTAAAATTGTAGGGTAACAAGAAGACATCCAGAGTTTACAGATGTAAGTTTCAGGTTGATAATTTAATCATTTATTGAGAAGTATTTTAAAATACATTATGATATATGATGAATGAGTAAAGTGAATGAACATCTGAATTAAATGAAGAAAGGATCTTTGTTTCTGGAGTCAGCTTTTCCAGTGTAATCTCTGCTGCCAGCAGTGAATACATCAGATGTATTTACATCGTATCTGTGCAAGAGGATGTTTATGGATATGACATATGCTTCTCTGCACCCTTAAAACCTGAGAACTAGTCTCTCTCTCAGTACCATGTGCATCTCTGTTGATTTCAGAAATATGCAATACTGCAGTAATGAGCATGCTATAAGAATCTAAATAGACCCATAGACATATGGGCAGGCAGATGGATTAAGGCAGACTTTGTCACTTTGTCCCTAAAAATCCTTTGTGATACTTCTCTTTTGTGTACACAGTGACACTAAGGTGTCAGCCCAGATAATTTCCCTTAAGTTAGTAATATTTTATGAATTTACATAAAGTTTTTACTTGAAAATGTGGAGGAGTGTGTGTGCACATTTTGCAGAAATGTACTGGTGCTAGTAATATAAACCATTTTCATTCTATCTTGAAAAACATTGTGAAGGTATAAATTATGTTTGAACTGGACAGAGATGATGATGTGGCATGTGACTGAAAATATATATTTTTTAATAGATGATTCAGCCGCAGAGAGTTTTAATGGCAATGAGACCGTGGGACACAGTTCCAATGCTTCAGGGGGAACACACTGCAGGGAGATGGCAGAAACCAACAGTAATGGCAAAACAAATCTGGAGCAGGATGAGCAGCCTCTGAACCTGAGTGACAGTCCCCTCTCTGCTCAGCTGACTTCAGAATACAGACTAGATGATCACAGCAGTAATGGAAAGAACAAATACAAGACTCTCCTAATTTCTGATCTCAAGATGGAACGGGAGGCAAGAGAAAATGGAAGCAAGGTAAGATGCTTCCACATGCTCCAGATATAAGTGTGTAGCTTAGAAAAGGAAAAGATTTGTGAGGCCAAACCAAAGGTTATTCCCAGCTAAGCACTTAATGCAATGTGTCTAATGTTTGTCACATCATTACTCTGATGCTATACATAGATTTGTATGCTCTGTTACACATAGATGATGCATACGTACATTAAGTGTATGTGGTTGTACATGGGTGAATACATATATATAGACATGTATAGCGTGCTGACACACTGACAAAAATCAGTGCAGAGTGCAGTTCTCCATCAGGCATGAATTTATTGAGAACTGTCTACATTACCCATTTGAAATATATATATTAAAATATGTATATAATGTGTTACATATATATATGTATAATACACTGAGATACATATATCTATGTATATTTATAGATGACCATCTCATTACATGTATTACATATCTATAGAATGAATTGTTATGAATGCTAAGTGTGTATGCCCAAGCAAATTACAACATGTGAATTATCAGCACCCAAAAGGAACTGATTTGGTTCCTTCCCAATTGTTTATGTTATGCAGGCACCTAACCTGAATTAAAACTGACAAGTTTGCTTTAAGAAGCTGTAATCCCCTGAGGGCTTTTCTCTGTAGTTTCCATTATGTGGCTAAGGAGAAGTGAGGGTGTTTATATTGTAGATAAAGACAGATCCTATAGACTGGGCAGCTAGCTTTCCAGGAGGGTGTTTGTCCTGAAGGCATGCTGTAGGGAGGGTGAAGAAATGGTCTATATCCATGATACATTGATACAGTCCATTGATCTTACTGGTGACAAGTTCCTGTTTCGTATCTGATAACTGCCAACTGGATTACCACTTTTACAGCAGCAATAATAGGATGTTAGTATTAGGTCCAAATAGTATTAAGCCTAGTCACTAGCTTCAGGTAGCCCACTACAAAATAACCTGACAACATAGATATACTTTGAACAGCCACATTTTTTGCAGGGCTTTGAAATAGCAGTGATGAGGAAAACCACTTTTTCAGGTTAGGTATATTTTTAGGTATATGCAGAAAGGGATTGTACACGACTCATATGTAGAGAACATTTATTTATGCTAAAGTTTAACTCCTGTCTTCATTGCCTGTGGAGAAAGAATAGAACCTTGAAATGTTTTTTTTACCTGAAGTATCCGGTTTTGGTGGGTAGAAGAAAGGGAGACCAAATGGGAGATTGTTAGTCTTCCTTAGCCATTCCAGTTTAGCAAATCATGTACCCAAAACTTCTCCATAAAATCTTTATGAGAACCTGTTTATCTGCATGGACTATTTTTGTTTCTACAAATTTTCATTTTATTGAAAATGGTCTGAACAGCTCTAGTCTCAGCGTATGTGTACACTCGTGTGCTGGATTTGCTCTGTATTTTGGCTGTTACACAGCGAGTCTCAAATTGGCTTGTATGAATGGTATCGTCATTTGCTTAAGGGCACATTGTTCCAATGAACCTTTTATAAGCCTGTCACCCAAATATTGATAGACACAAAGGCTCTTTTGCCTGAGGTACATCACTTCTGCCATTACTTTTGCAAATACACAAATAAGCTTGGTGAAGAAAGTGAGGAGCCTTAATATGGAACTCATATATAGCTAAGACAAGAACATAATCTAATGTTACATTTCCAATTTTAATCAGTTCCAAATCAGATGCAAAAAAAAAAAGTTTTAAAAAGTGTTAAAAATCTGTTAAAATTCATAAAAATGAATTGAGATGACAATCAGACATCTCATCTTTGTTATTCCACAAATTTTAAGAGGCCTGAATCATCTCCCAAACTGATACATTCTTTCATCACTCATTGTCATCCTACCCACTCTATACTGCCAACAGTATGCAGATTTGTCTCCCCTGTTTGACCCAGTGAAACTCATGATGTTTACAGCTCTGTTAAGTATACGATTTATTAGGTATGCAGTAAATATGAAGACTTTAGGAAGAACACACTCCTGGGATAAACCAAAATTTGTCAGACTTATGAGTGTAGAGTAAAAGAATGTTTTTGTGGTCAATCTTGTATTAATTATACTCACTTTTTAAATTAAAAAAAAAAAAAAGAAGTTCTGACATAGTTTTAGAAGGAGCAAAACCCTTTGATGTATTAGAATAGAACGGGACTGTAAAGCATCTCAGTGTTCCATATGCATACATATACACACATATAAATCATTACTACTGTTTTACCTTAAATGGTATCTTACATTCTAAGGAGTCAGAGAACATTTTACAAGCCCCAGGAATTCCTCTTGCCTTCCCCTGGTGATTCAGGTTACTGGGCCCCTCCAGAGGAGTGTTCTGGAGGTGATTTTGAACAATGCAGGAGATCAAACTCTTAGTTGTGTGCGGTGCTCACTGGATGCACTTGGGCAAGGATATCACAAGGAACTAGTCAGAACGCTAATTCTCTGCAAAAAGGAGACAAAATAAAGAACAAGTAAGGCTAACAGTACCATAGTTTACTGGGAGCCATATCTCACATATCTTTTTTACCCAGAATGCACCAAGTATGTGGGTTGTTTTGTGAAGTCATCCTAGTGCTCTCCCAGCATCTAACCTCCAGCCATTCACAGTTACAGCATTATTAGACATGATTTGACCTGAATAATGGCATAATTGGTAGTGATGGGTAAGAAAATATGTTTAGCATAACCTCTAATCATGTTTTCATGAGAAAAATAATCTGCAGTGTTCACTGAGTATCAAATTGATGTGCCACTTCTTATAGTATTCTTACAGTAAGTATCTTTACTGGCAAAGAATTGTGAAAAGTTAAGTGAGAAGTCAGTGAAGAAAATATCTGATTTCTCAATGAAGGGAAATACATTGTAATTACTGGGCTAGCATTGCAGGAAGCATACATTATGCTTCCTCCAGCTTCTACAATGGCCCATTTAGCCTGCAGAAGATGTTACTTGCTTGAGATGGCTGGGACTCTCTGAAATCCAGAGGCAAAGGGCTGCAGTGGGGAAGTTGTGTTGGCTGTCATGTTCCCATGTTCCCTCCCTGCTTTGTCTGAGCCTCCTTTTTGGATTCTGCATCGTATGTGTTTTATTAAATTTGAAGCCACAGTTTCTCTGGTCAAGTTGTATTTTTTTTTTTTTTGGTTGAAAATTATCAATACAATAGATCTCTTCCTCCAAATCACAGATTTTGAAAGGAGTTTGTATTTTCTGGAAACAAGCAGTTTTGTTAAACTATATTATAGGTGTTTTCCTGTACAACACTGTTTACAAGAACAATACTTCCTACATGTGTGTAGTGGTGGGCTCTGCCATTTGACAATACAGTTGTGATGGATGATTTTGTACATGCTGCAGAAATAAGATCAGAAGAAGCAGTTGAGATAAAAATGGTAGTTTTCCCATCGTATTTTCTTTGTGAATCTGACAGCTAATAGGGAGATGTTTTTTGAAAATGGTTACTTCTTTGTGGAAGTTCAATTTTTAGAATATTCATCTTGTCAATACCTATTTGAAGAATTATATGCTTATGCTATATTGAAAATTTGCTAGCTAGTGGTTTCATTCTGTGAAATAATCCTGAATATTAAACCAAGGATACTTAACATTTTCCTAAAATCAGGCCTTCCTACACAGAGGAAGTCATTAGGAATTTGTAAGAAATGTAGGTTTTTCAGGAAATAATAAATCAAGTTTTCTTGTCTGAAAAGCCTCTGATGAATAACTGGAGATTAGATAGGGTTATGTGAACAAATTTTAGTTCAACTTCTCAAACTACTAGGGTATATTATTTAAAAGAATGTTTGGTTCAGTCACTTTAGAATATAACAATTGATGTTGATAACACTCTTTAAACAAGAATGAAGTTTCAGTGGACAGTGTAACTTTACTCTTTGAATCTTCAGTTTTAAGCAGTGAGAATATGTGGTAACATCATTGTCCTGGGTTCAGCTACAGCAGTCATTTTTTCGCCTTCTTAGTAGCTGGTGCAGTGCTGTGTTTTTGACTTTCAGTCTGGGAACAACGCTGATAACACCGATGTTTTTAGTTGTTGCTAAGTAATGTTTACTCTGACCAAGGACTTTCTCAGTCTCATGCTTTGCCAGAGAGGAGGAGAAGCCGGGAGGAAGCAGAGGCAGGACACCTGACCCAAACTGGCCAAAGGGGTATTCCATACCACAGCACGTCATGCCCAGTATATAAACTGGGGGGAGTTACCCGGAAGGCCCAGATCGCTGCTCGGGTCGGGCTGGGTATCGGTCGGCGGGTGGTGAGCGGTTGTGTCCTTTTCCCTTGTTATTCCTCTTATCATTATTATTGGTAGCAGTAGTGATTTGTATTATACCTTAGTTACTGGAGAGCTGTTATCTCAACTCGTGGGAGTTACATTCCTCCGATTCTCCTCCCCATCCCTCCGGGAGCGGGGGGAGGAAGGAAAAGGGGGGGAGTGAGCGAGCGGCTGCGTGGTTCCAAGTTGCCGGCTGGGCTTAAACCACGACACTCATCTTTGTGTAAAATCACATGTTGAGTGCAGTGGAGGAAGCTGCCAAATTGGAACATAACCGTAAAATCTGGTCCAAAATGTTTTACCATTAACTGAAAAAATGATATGCAAGAAATAAATGAGTTTTTATAGTCTTAAATACATATATGTATATATGTATGTATATGCATATATATCTATGCATACGTATCTATATATATGCTTTTTATATACATACTTTTATTAAACTGATATTAGGGAACTGATCAGTAAGACTCAGAAGTTCACAGCAGCAGAACTTCCTACAATTATTCAGGGCTGAAGTCAGTGAAATTGTGTGTAACTGCAAAAATATATACATAAACTTACCTTAAAAGGGCTGGGTCTTTGTGCTACAAAAGGCTTATAAAATATTCATCTCTAAATTCTCTGCAAATGCAGGTCTATGAATTCAAATAGCTTAGTGCACATATAAATTATTTTAGACCATTATATACTCATGTGTGAGACTGCTGGGTTTCTC